ATTTTATAAATATTTATTTATGTTTATTATGCATTGTTTAAGTATAGAGATACGAGTTGAATTTCTGTTTGATTTTAAGCCGGCTATTGGATAATCAAGAGAACTAGGGCAATGGCCTTTGCTTTGTTTCTTTTTTTTTGTTTTTTTTTTTTGTTTTATGTAGTTTGGAGCGGTTTAGTTTTTCTTGATTTATTAATATACACAAAGAACAAAATGACAAAAACAATTATCTATGACATCTTTCGATTTTATTCTAATTTTTTGAAATGAAAATCACTTTAAGCATTAATTTACTTTTCATACACTATATAACTTTCTTTTTTAAAGAAAGTGACTCATCATCATCATCATCATTATTATTATTATTATTATATAAAATATTAAGCGGCTCTCGGGCGCTAAATTTGCTGTGAATAACTTCATTTATTTTTTGCTTCGATTAATACATATTCAGTGAATAAAATGTGGTATATATGTATTTACAAGATGGGTCATAACTTATGTTCATATTGCAGTGCGGGAGTAGTTGAATGTAAGTGCTTCTTGTGATCGCCAAAGTCGAAATGGGAGAAGGATACTCTTACCATACAACGTTTATCTCTTCATGAATTCACGGAGAAGTTATACCGGACGATGTGGGCTTACATTCCAAGGAATCATTGAAGTGACGAAAATAATGCTAGCAAGACGGGTATCGTTACCGCTACTTGCCATTGCGGCCCACGTAAAGAACGTATAGATATAAATACCCTTTAAATAACTTTAGCAATCTCGAGACGTGCGGTTATGTGTGGTCAGAAATTATAGCGTTTCTATAAGTAGTTGAGAGAAATCTTTCGTTTCTTATCTATGTTATACCGGCACTCGTATGAATATATTTGCATACGCAAGGAGCTATGTTGCTATGCGACTTAAGTGGTACACCCGGTATATTTTCTTAAATATATGTCAGCTGCAAAGATTTTAAATTTTACAAATCATTTTGTTTTTAAGTACGTACTTGATACGCGACTACGTTTATGATATTTTCTTGCACATTGTATTTATAATACAAATATTTATTTGCATATTGAGGTAAGTTATTGTGTGTATGCGGCGATTTCAATTTCACAGCAGAAAAAAAAGTTTTTGTTCGACTTAAATCGAATAGGCTACCGCATAACCATTAACTCGGTATATCCGAGTTCGAATCTTAATGCGGTATACGGTATATTACGGCTGATATGTGGTCGTAGCTATAGTGAGTACTCTATCGGTAAAGTCATAACAGTTACTCAACGGGCATACACATCCTAGGGTCTGTCCATTCCCTATCCTTCTCTTCGCACTTCTTTCTGACCGTCATTGTATTACACATACAGACAGCACTCCTGAGTGATTGGCCATATGTACCTAGTCATCGTATGTTTTTAGTGATTGGTAGTAAATGTATGTGTAAGTTAAAAATAATACTCTCAACCACCCGTAGTATGTTGTATAAAAGTAAGCATCCTATCGTACAACGACGATTTAGCATTTACGAGAGCTGCATTTAAATACAGATCGAGAGGTAACTTTACCGATGATTACATCGACTGATCAAAGATAGTTTATGGCACAAAAATTTCATAAACTTTAAATACTTCTTGTGATGGGTAAAAATCCGTAAAATTAGATTTTCATAAATTAGAGATCATATTATCGAACTATAACATCTAGGCTTGTGTTGGAGTGCCTTCAAACACTGAACGAGGTAGGTAGGCGCAATGATGTGCACCTAATGTGGGTGCCTGGCCATTTGGGTGTTGAGGGCAACGAAAAGTACAACTTTTCGGTGGCGTACCAAGAAGCCAGAAAAAATCCGATTGCCGTTGGAAGCAATGCTCAGGATAACAACAGGAAAAAAGATTCATAAAATCGTCCGGTATAGTACATAAACCGCTGAAACTAAGAAGAAGCGATCTACATTCCGTTACGGACTTCCATACGGGTGATAATTCCCTCAGGTACGCTTGAAACACATGGCTATGTCTAATACCAATTTATGCAGATGCTGCTAAAAGGCGAGCGAGACGGCCTCGGCGTGAGTGTGAGGCAATTTGCAAAATCAGCCAACATGCGTTTGTTGAGCATTTTATAACACCGGACACGGTATGGTATTCCGATCCAAGGAAGTTGGCGCAATTTATAAAAATCCTAAAACTGGGGAGCTAGGGGCATGGTCTGCAGATGGCTGTCTGCCTACGCAATTAATAATAATAATAATAATAATAATAATAATAGTAAGTACATGTATTCTTGATCAGCATCAAATTCTGAACCAATTTCAGCGCGTCTGTTCGTTTGTCCATTTCACCGTCTGCGCACCTACATAATATTTGTGATAAACATTTTCCCGATCCAAAAAAAGTTATCGTGCTCAAGTTTAGCCAAAGCATTGGAAATTCTTGTACGCATGTTAGTATTGAAAACTGGACTGAACTGGACAACAGGACTGTAGTACAAACTACAGTACATACAGTTGAAAACATCTTTGTTTTCGGAAGTAAATAAATATATCTTTTCTTGTTCGAGACCTATAAACTATAACAGTTGTATTGATGAAAATGTTCACATATATATTATGGATGATTCTACAATAACTGTATAAAAATAAAAAAAAAGCCACACTTGCGCAGAGTTATATAGTTTGCATTTTATCGATCTTTGCTAAATTTCTTTGGTTTTTTTTTTTTTTTAAGTTGCAGGTGATGATTGCAGAAGATTCGGCCACAGCTGAATAGGATATTTGCTTATGACTTATTCATATATTTATGAAAGCTCTTATGGTAAAGTTGACCAAGCAGAATTCAAGGTTATTCAATAGATTTCTCTTTTGATAATTATCAACATTCATTTCAGTTTATTGAAATTAATGATAAGCAAATTATTATTTTGACTGAATCCTTAGCAGTTGCAAGTCACATGAAAAGCGATATGGTTCGTTAAAAAAATCGATACACGCTACAAAGTCAGCATGACTGCAAGGGATCTGAATTAAGCATGCTTGTCGTCCGGACTTTCGTTGGTGAAAAAACATATCGGGAGCTGAGAAGTATTAAGAACCAGGCTGTTATATCCGACTTTGTGTGTTAAGTGCTTCACTTGCCAGGTGAAAATATTCATAAAAGATATCCAGAGGTGACCGATTGAGAAGCATCTGTGTTTTAATATGGCCATCCAAAATTTGCACCTGCTTGGTAACTCATAGAAAGTTATTGAAGTTGACTTCAAAAGAGACAATGAATCATTTTCTGTGCGGTGTTGAGCAGAACTTCATAAAACTCCTTGAACGATAGAATGTCAAGTTAGGCGTGGATAAACTGAAATCATACTTGTTTTGTTATCGAGCCCTACCAGAATGTCTATGTGAGAGGAATCTTGAAGCTATGGAAAGAATATTAAGAGTTTATTGGACATAATGAAACATAAACATATAAATTATTTCTCATACAAAGGACAAATGGGAAAAATATCTTCGTCTTAAGACAAGTCTTGCAAACACGTCCTCGTTCTAACGAAAACTTTAATTTGTACATTGTAGAGTGCTTAATATAAGTGCGACTACTATTTTTCAATTGAAAGACGTAGTTTCTTGGAGCTTTGAATAGAAGTAGTTCTGGACTAAAAAAATCGCTACTTATGGGAAACCTTATTTTTCCTGCTAAATACGTTGGCTAGGGCTACGAAATCCTTGCGAATGATATATAATGGATGCGTTTCGTTATCCAAAACCCAAATAGTCATAATGTCCAAAAGGCAAAGGTAAATATCCATTGTGCATTTGAGAAGTTTAATAGGACGTGGTGTATTAAGATTTGTTCCAACTCATTAAGAATCTCTAGCTGCCAACAAAAACTAATGTAGTTGAGAGGAAAAACGGCGGCAATATGCCAAAACCTATGATATCGTAAGTTTTCAGTATGAGGAATTTCTGCTTCATATAGCAAAACTCGTTCAGGCCAATTTTCTATCGGCAGATAACACTCGTTTCGAATACCACGGGTTTCGATAAGTGATCTATTGTTTGTTCGACTATTGCTCCATTCTTATAACGATATCAAAATATGGATTCTCTTCCGGATCGCCTGAAAAGACTAATTGTCTGTTTCGCATCAAATTCATGTCCTGCATGGAAGAGGAGAGAAGTAATGGCTATTGCTCGACAACACATTGAACAAAGTAAATTCTAATGCTGTTTTATAATAATACCTCTTCAATTTCACTAAAAACTGAGTGGGCATTTACTTGCTCACCTAATACATATATATGTACGTGTACATGTATTTGAGAGTTGGAATATGTTTTGCTAATTAAGGTTACGGTCACGGCTGGTCAATCAAAATCGTTTTGGCAATTAGCTTGTAGATGACCTTGTCGAATATGCTAGATTAATGAATGTTACAGGTTGTGAGTTAGATTTACGACTCTTCCAGGCTAGTGTGCATATCAGCGATCAGTTAAGCATGTATGCAACAACTTTCTGCTTCTATTCCGAAACTGAGTCCACTTGTAACAGGTGAAGAACGAAAAAAGTCAAGTATGTCTCCGCCTAATCGAATGCATATTTTTTATTTCTATTTGATTACAGAGATGCATTTCGTGCATCGTGTCCACTGGAATGCCGCAATTAACAGTTCATTCGGAACCTATAGTGAAAATTTTGCTTTTAAGATTTATTTTTTTCAAATTACCTAAAATCTTCTTAATTATCTCTAAAGCTCTCGCATAAAGTTTTTCATTGTCACCTCTTTTAGTTTTTGTTTTTCAATTTGCATTTTTAAATATTTTAAAAAATTTAAAAAAAATTTAAATAAAAAAATTTTTTTTTTTTTTTTTTTTTTTTGTATAACAATGAAATATGATATATTAAATAAATATTATTAATAGTTGTCAACATTTAAGAAACTTGCAAAAAAAAAAAAAAAAAAAATGTGAAAATAATTTTTTTTCTTTTTTATTTAAAAAATAGTTTTACTTACTTTTTAGAGCCCATAAATCAAAATTATGTAACCCGTCTAAGTAACGTTTAGTATGCCGACGACATAATTCAGAAGCCAGTGGATTACGTGATGCATCAAATGGCTGCGACCATGATATCAATCTCTGAGCGATGTTATTAACGTATTCTAGAGGAAATATATACCAAATACAAATTTAAATAAAATTATAAAAATAGAAAACAAAGGACAACATTATATATTATTATAGATGGGCAATGCCGACCGTTAAATAACCTACACAAAAATTATATCTTGGCATATTTTTCGATTGAGTATTTATGGGGAAGCGGGCCCAAAACGCAAGCTAATGTAGTACAAGTTTAATGCTTACATAGGACAGGATACAAAAATAGGCGTAGATGGTCCAAATGTTGTAGAGTTCATTTTCAGTATGAAACTGCTACGATATTGTGGGTCAATTTCCATCACCACATATTAAAACTTAGACTTTTCTGCTCCACAAAAAATCAATTCTCGTGAAACTCCTTATTAGAATAGAATCCAAAATATAGGCCGAGATTGTCCAAATTTGGTACAGTTAATGTTTCTATGTTAATTCTAAATTTTACCTTTTTATCGGATGAACAGAGCAGTTTTCGTTGTTGGAGGGAACGTTCAAAAATTGCCCCAGCCAGGGTTCAAAGTTTTCATATCGATTTAGAATTTCGATATACAGTAGCACTTGGTCACTTTTGCTGAGAAATTTTGAAAATTACAATTTTTTTTGACTTAGGTCAATTCAGATAATGATTGTAATCAATCGGTATAATAACAGGTGGATCTACCTTAAGATATTCTGCATGTTACATACGTGCGCACTAATTTAATATTCACTATATCATAAACTATAAGCAGTAATGAAAACATTGCTCAAGTTCGCCATATGATGTAGGACAACCGTCGTACGAACACGTCTAAAGAACGTATTTTTTACATAGTGAATGAACACTCACGCGTTAAAATGCATGTTCGATTTCGCATTTACTCACAGTGGAACAAAAGCTGTGGGTGGCCATACGTCGTCTACCTTACTCTCCAGATCTGTTCTCTATTGTTTGTTTGTTCTAGTTCCAAGATTATGCTCAAGGGAAAAAGGTTTGAATCAGATTATGAGATTATTGAGGTTACTCAAGCTTGTCTTCTGAAAATCGTTGCATAGTTTGTATTGTTTCTGAAGGAAGCCACGTTCACGAATAAGGTCGAATCTTACAAATAAAAATTTTTTCTTACTTAAACCGGATAAATTTCAGAAAACCTTCGTGAATGTGATGCGCCAAGATTAATCCCAAGATTAATTCCAAGATTAATTCAATTAAAAAGTTGGAGTAAAATCAGAAATTCTAACAAAACCTTTATATTACATTGTACATACACAGCCGCCTGAGTGGCCGAGTAGGCAAGAGTCACGACTAGCAACTCAATGGTCGTGGGTTCGAATCCTCAAGTGCGGTAGAGTTTTTAAATAAAAGCCGATAGCCTTAGATGCTGGTGTTTTAAGACTTTAGTCTTAGAATAATAATAATAATAATAATAATAGTAATGCACTGTACATATGCCAGAAATTAACGAGATTTCCAGTCCGAATGAAGAGTTTTCGAACAAAAAAAAGTTAAAAATTAGTTAAGGATTTTTCTTTATATCTCTTAAGTATTTATGTACAACGATTAGTTCCAAGAGAGAGCAAAAGTATATTCCTTCAAAGTATATATCATAGATGATAGTTGCGTTTATCACATATTGCTTGCCATGTAGAAGATCGCTTATTGCATACATTTCATGTTTTCGTACAACTTCACCGCACCCCATAGATAATTTTGTAATACAAAAAGTCTACGTTCGTATTGTCAGTTAAACTTATCGGGATGGAATCTGGGAAAATGTGGCACCTAATCTTCTTTATTATTGACTACACGTCGCTGTTATCCGTTGTTTTTGAAATCAGAATATTGCGATTGTCATAATCTTCCGCTGGTCCCTAAGTCTGTGGTCCACTCAAAGCGGTTATTAAGTTTAATTTCCGTTTATTAAAGCTAGTATACCCTCTAAGAGATGGATATAATAAAAAAATATATATATCTATCATATATCTATCATATATATAGACAAAGGTATGCATTAAACAAATCTTAATAGCTTTTAGTAACCTTTACGACGTACTTGACGCAAAAATAAAAAAAAAAAATGAGAAAAAAAAACAGGAAAAAGAATTGAATAATAATTTTCACTTAACCAAATTTTGGCACCAAGGTGTCAAAATTGCATAAATTTGTAAATAAATAATTAAATATCAACTTGATCTTGATCTTGATTTCAAACACATTCTATATGTTTATTAACTATTTCCAAAGATTAGACAAATACTTTGTTTTTTTTTTTTTTTTTTTTGGTTTTGATATCATAAAAATCTTTATTTTGTAGAAAATAAAATTAATAAAAACAATTTTCACTTGATTGATATTTTTTAGACTCTTTTTGTATGTGCTGTAAAGCAGTTAAAATAGCTCGTCTTATAAATACATACACAAACATGTTATATGCTTTAATTATGCAAATTTTTTTGTTTTCTTTTCTTTTTTTTTGTTCTTCTTCTTTGATGTTACGTTTCTGGAATACAAAATATTTGTGATTTTATTTGCTGATGATAAAACTTTATTGTTCAGTTCAGTTATAGTGTATAAATTTTTTATAGAACGTATTGGCCTATGTGTATTGGTGATTGGGAGAATAAGATATGTACCTGTTATGAATTAGAATATTCTTAAATATATTCTCGATGGTAGGTATCAGTCAGTTGAAAAAGGAATTTTTGTTTATTCATATGAATGAATTAATGTGCATTGAAGTGACGTCTTTTTAGCGCGTTGTTCATAGGAAGAGTGAAATAATTTTTTTTATTTTTTATTTTTTTTTATCGTGAATGTATCCAAAACATATATACACAAAAATTGTATTTTCTTTTCGTTTTTTTTTTTTCGTTTTTAAATTTATTCACAATAAAAACTTGTATTTACTATAAAAGCATTTATTTTATAGTTTATTCGATAAGTTATTTAATTTTTACGTATATTCCTTTCCATATAGAGATTACCTGACGAGGAAATCACGGATGAACATTTCCCAATATTATCTCGGCGCTAAGCTATTCTACATGAAATTTTTTAATTAAAATGCTTTACACTTAACAACGAAACTCAATGTTACAGCTAAGTCGAAAAATTATTAAGCCATAAAGCCATACTTACATATAAATGGAAGTAATGGCAGGTAGAATTGCGTGCATATACTCGGGAATGACATTGATGAACGCAGTTTTCTTAACGAGTGGACTGTACGAGTTTTAATTAATAATAAGAGAAAAATTTAATTATTTTATGTCATTTATAAAAATACTTTATTTTTTATTTTATCGCTTAATAAGATGAAGCGAAGATGGTATTTAGCAAATCTATCATTTACTACAGTAGTGTAAGCAATCTGTGCGAATGTATGCGCAGCATCCAAAGGACTTGAGATAGATTCACTTTTTATTATACTAATCGAGTCTGGATCATTTTCTGAATCGATCTTTGCAGTCCATATACGCAAAATGTGTTCGACTTACAGGTAGAACTTTGGAATGAATTCGATTGGAATAAGTTTTAATTTGACGAATATACTAAACTGCCCTAAGTTTACCCTACATAGGTCTATTTTTCGGGATCACGTACCAAAAAAACTTTCATATGCCATTAAACACTAATTGTTGGCATTTTGTGGATAAGATAGGTGAAAAATTGTATTAGACGAAGGGGTACCGGGTGCCGAGACTAGGAAAGCAAATCACCATTAGAAAGCTGCCTTCGTAAATGCGTAATTGGCATGATTACAGCACTGTTAGTAAATATGTTATGGCGGCTAGTGCACATTGTTTCAATAATCAAACTCTTAAGCCTTCTACTCTACACGTGCAATTAGGTTCTACATACAGCAATAAGGTTGAAACCGTAATTGGTGTCAGGACTTTGGGAAACACTGTGCTATGCATACAGAAACATGATTGGAATGAATAAAACGGTTATTATCAAATTATCGGAATTCATCAAAATTAGTTTTCCTTAACCAAAGAGTTCTTCCTTTAAAATTGATCTCTATACTAAAGACGCAGCGCTTTGTATTTATATTGATTATGAGGATCTGCCAAGTAACATCGATTCCGTTTTCCTCCTAGTAGATGAAGTTCACTTCGGTGTCGCACGATGCAATTTATTTCTTATACCCTCGTTATCCTATATCACTTTTGGCTAAAGGCTTATTAAGTATCCGTGGATGTATGCAACACCTAGAAAGAGTCTTGAGATAATCCTAAATTTCATTAATTCCCACAAATTTACCTAAGATTGATTTGTATAACGATTAAACTTCATCACCAACTGTAAAAATATTAATCAATTAATTTAGAAAGAGTGGGTCAGTTAGGGATTTTAAACACTCTGACCATGTTTTAGTAGAATACATCGAAGCAGTTCATGAGTATATTGCTTAAAGTCTAGGAATATTAATTCAGTATCGCGTTCAAAAATTGAACATATCGAAGAGCGCTCTACAATGCATTCTCGCGAAAAGTTTGCATCGTGATATTTACAAAATTCAATTGATACAAGAACTGCGACCTATTGGCTACGCATAGCGAGATCATTTGTTCTATATGTTAGTATGAATAAACGTTTGGTGACCATTCATTCAACATGCTATTATGTACCTATGTATCAAAAGAACTTTTTGCGTGAATTTTAGAGCGCCTTATATTATATCTATGTAAAAAATAATAGGTAAAGGACTTTGAAAATTTCTATTCTTTTTTTGTCTTATTATTATTATTATTATTATTATTATTATTATTATTATTTTTTTTTTTTTTTTTGAATGCGAACAACCACTCAGGTCGTTTTACCTTTCCGCGTAACAAAGAACACACACACACAGAATCTTTTTGAATATGGGCGTTAGGGTTATACAGGATGATAACCTTTACAAGTAGTAAAGGAAAAACTTATAAATCCTAATAGTGTAAGCATTTTGAATAGATGTGTCGTATCTAGGAATGATTGAAGATGATGAAATGGTGGCTTCTGATTTATAGATGAAAGTCAATGAAAGTCAAGTTCGCAGGAAGCGACAAAGAACAAAGCAATTAATTTAGATAATCAGACGGTCTTGTTTTCAATAGGTTCTAATGGGTGGAGTGGGGCGGGGTGCAGAGACATAAAAGTACATAGCCACGACATATGGTAAACACATTAACTAATTGAATTCAAAAGTAATTTTTGGAAGGCAATTGTCGTTTTAGCCGAATTATTATTAGCAGAAGTGAAAAAAAATCTCCTTTCTTGATATAAATAAATGGTTTAAAAGCCATAGGTTCATCTATCTAGACTTAGGTACCTTAAGGTAACATTACTAGACATGGTGCGGTATTTGAGTATTTCAATATGTTTTTAGTTAGAAAGTGCTTTAATTTTATGAAGGTTAGCACAAAAATTCTTTAAGGAGAGGAGGGCGACGACTTATGTTTCTTATATATATATATATATATATATATATCATAATTTATATTGAAAAGCGCTTAATGGTCAAGAATTTAATTTTTTTGTTTTTTTTTTTTTTTTTTTCGAAAATTAACATTAAAGTTGTGTTTAGTTTGCCTTTAATTGATACTTTCCATAATGTTATAATGTTATTGTTGCTATAGCCGAACATTAAATATTTTTTTATAGGTAATGTTTTTTTTTTTTTTTTTTTTTTTCTTTAAAGATTCTTGAAATAAGAAGCGGATACTATTTTTATTACACGCATAAGGAAATTAATTGGAATCGTAAAATTCTTTTATATAATAGTATTGAACCGTACGGTTGAATATTTTAAGTTAAGTCAATTTACTTATTTAGAGATTTAAAAAAAATAAATATTAATTAAGAAACAGTCTTAAGCTCGTGTCAGTTTAGAAAGAAAAAAAAAAAAAAAAAAAACAAAACCTTGTATAATAGCTATTTTGAACGTTTGTGTTGTTAAAATATTGTTACGAAACAGATACCAGATTAGAATTTCATTTTTGTATCCACAATCACAGATTTCAACTATCCATTGCTTTCTACTAACTAGTATTTTTCATCAGTCAAGCAATAAGTGTGCACGTGTTCCTAATATTAATCAATTTAATCATGTCTGCTTTGCGCATATTATCCGTCTACCGATGGGCACGTTGATAATATTAATATAGGGTCATCAGATAAGTATATCTATATTTTTTTTTTTAATTTGTAATAAAAACTAAACGATAAAATATATCATGACATGAATTTTCATCTATTTTAGATATTGATTCATGCCATTGTTATTATCATTTAAAATAGATTTCATGCAAAAACGATTGCCTTTGTACTTTTGTGAAAACTCAATCCTGAAAACATCAATTTTTTTCACTTTTTCACATATAGTAAATCGGCTTTTATTTCGATCGAGAATTCGGGATTTGTCGGTTAATGCTTTCATATAATGCCAAAGTAAAGAGTCTAATAGGGTTCAGTATAGAATGATCAATTCCATATACGAATTTTTGGCGATTAGAGTCGCCGTTAGGTTTTGCTCGCAATGAGCTGATGGTACTACGATAAGTCGGCCATGCTACAATATTTTATTAAGAACACATATCGTCCAAGTAATGGTACATAAAACTAATACTCCTATGTCAGTAGTGTTGTGCATTTTCATATGTAAAATTGATGTTGTCAGCCCACAAAACCACAACCAAAAATTAATTTTTTTACACATAAAAGCTCTTTAGATTTGTTTTCTTTCTTTCTAACAAGAAGGGATTCGAACTTTAACTCATTGATTTTAGTGTTTGTCGACTCATTGTTACTTTATCAAACCTAACCACGTTTTCTTGATTTTATTACTTAAACCATATAAAATACTTCTCGATGGATTTTCTTCTTCTTTTTTTTTTTTTTATTTTCTAACAAAATCAGTCAAAATCATCTAATGTACATTCGAAAAAATTGAGACCATAAGCTTGCCAACCGATGAAGCTCTCTTTCGAATCGATTCTCTTCTTGAAATCTCATTTCAATTACTTTGTTTCTTCGTCTCAGATAAATACGTAATGAACATATGTTCTATCTATGCTTACGAGTTGACGCAAAAATTCCGCTCCATTGGTGTGAAAAATGGTTAAACATTCAATTGCAACATCATCATGGCGTTTCCCCGTTTGCAGTGTGAATAAAACCGACGATGTACAGGATTTTTTGAAATGCCTATCATGTCTGCTAGCTTGGGCCCATTTTTTTTTTGCTTTGCTAAATCAATTTCAATCATTGACGATCTAGTCTAAGGAGCCTGTTAGAGATCAAAATCTTCATACCTGAAATACTGAAAACAATTTCTAATTTGCACTTTGTATACGCGATTTCTCGCCTCCCCCTTAACGTACTATATCCCATACGTTTGTCATATGCAAGATGAGGGAAAAATATTGGAAATGATATTTGACGTTCTAGGGAATTATGTGGGGGTTGAGAAATGCACTGTCAGAAAAGAGAAATCAAAAATTTCATTGAACTTTCATGAACGTCTTGCGGACAGTTTGTAATTAGATGCAAACACATTTCGAGTTCGTCTAACTTCTTTGCGCATTGTTCCATCGCACAGGCATATAAATAATAGATAAGAGCGAAGACTCTTTCTTTTTTTTTTTTTTTTTTTTTTTTTTTTTTTTTAAATAATAAGATATATTTTATAAATTTTACTTAAGTGATAAGCACCTAAGAGTTTTTGTCTCAAGGCGAAAATATCTCTTTTATTTGTTTTATTTTTGTTATTTCTGTTTTTAAATAAACAGAAATGTCATTCGGATATATAAAAACCAAACCTGATGGTTTTGGAAACGAGTTTTGATCATAATGTTTATTAAATCAATTTATATATACATGTGTATATATATATATATATATGTATTGATATATAAACATGAATTTTCATGAGTTCAGTTTCGAGTTGCCTGCCGGACAGGCCTATTTGTTTTTCTTACCAATTATATGTAAATAGCTTAATATATTGCAAAATATTAGGTTGTCAGAAAAGATTATAACGTATTTTTGACAAGAGTGTTGCAATTATGTCATTTATATTATACTAAATGATTCTTTAAATGGTGGGTCCGCCGAACGATAAAACCGAACTATATGTTAATAGATGAGCTATCGCTACAGCTAAGCAATCGTCGTCAACAAGGCTATACTTACTAAGTCGCCGAACTTAATAAAGACTTTTAGTCTTTGTAAAATGGTTCATAAATACACTTCTGTTTGATATTTTTGCAAGCAACAAAGTATAGCGAGATTGAAACGAGATTCGAAACACGGACTTGCATAGAATATAACGAAGCAAAGCATTCGCAACCGAGCATTCACGATTTAAAGAAGGTGAAACTCAAGATTTTAATTGCATCATATTATTAGTTATACGATCTGGATTAACGCGCTTATCACCATTTAAGTAAGTAAACTACGAGTAGTACGACTGCCTAGACCTTGTCAAAGATATTTGAGAAGTGCAGCTATTAGCTCTAGCGTATATCTAATATACAAACTCGGTATCAAAAAAAAAAAAAAAAAAAAAAAAAAAACAAATCTAGAGAAAGTTGTTTACGAATGGAGCAATAGGTAAGTAATAGATAATATCTCTCCCACTGACCCAGTTCTCATGATTAAAGTGACTAATTGAACCGCTTGTTTAATTATCTACGACATTATGACCGTCACCTTGAAATTAACTTCTTTTTTTTTTTTTAATTCGATTTTAAAATCGAGCTTTTTGAACTGAAATGAAATTGAAAAATTTGGTGAATTGTTACGTTGGATAAAATCGCAGACACTGATTTGCTCGATAATCGACGACTTAAGACGATGTAATGAGATTTTTACATTTACACAAAACTTTTTTTATTTTTTAGTTTTTTTTTTTTTTTTTATAAGAAACTCTAAATTCGAAATTGGGTTGGTTCGGTTGAAAAACATAATGAAATAAAATTTTTTTTTTTTTTTTTTTTTTTAGTTCGTAATACTTACTTTTTTCGTTTTCTTCAATATCATTATCTTGACGTATATGAGTTATGGTTAAGTTGGCCGTCAAATCGCTTAAGTTACGCTCCAATGCCTTATAATCAATTATAGTTTGATCAGCAAAAAGCTTTAAACTGTAGTTAATTTTATCCTCAAATATTGAAGCGATTTTATTTTCCAAATCGTTGCTGGTGCGTTCGACACTCTCACCGCCTACGCTTAGTATTTGATCATTTATGTTACAATTATTTTTTAAATTGCAAGTGGGGTTTACCGCAGCATTCGCCAAACCATAACATGATGTGAATAAAATGTTTAGTGTTAAGCAAAGAACACACAAACACATACGCATGTTAACATGCATCTTTTCTGCTTTTCCTTTCAATTTGACAATTTTTCGTTTTTTTTCTGTTTTTTTTCTTTGTATATGTTGTTATATATTGTTGTTTTTGTTTAATTCGTTTTTTTTTTTTTTTTTTCTTTGATTTAATCGAAAAGCTTATTATAATAAAGTTCCATACATCGTTGCATTCTTTTTATACAAAAGAGTGGTTTTTTCTATCTACAGATGTTAATCTAGATTTTTTTTTTCATTTTACTAAAAATGGTATTTAAAAAGATTGATGTCTTGAACACGTTCCTTAAACTTTCAGTTCAGTTTCCGTCCACTTCGTTTTGTGAGTAAGCAGAGGCTATAGATTTTTCAATAATTATTTAAATTTTAATATCGAGTAGATTTCAGTCGATTTACTGATCTAATCTAATCTAAATAGTCGATCAATCATAGAAAGTTTAATTGCGTTATTACTTGCGATATTCGCATGTTCAGTATTCAATCTATGGTTATGCGGTCTTGTCATATCGAACGTGCATATAGATAGGTTTGGCGTGTTTTACTTTATGTTTCCTCTGTTAGAGCGATGTAGTACAAATAATATAATATTTAGGTTTGAATCTTTATTATCTTTATTTATGTTACGTTACGATTGTATGTTAACATGTTTACTATTACATGGCATGTTACTTTTTTATTGTAACAAAATATGGATATCAATAAATTAAGTCTATGCTGGATATACTACCTAGTTATGGTTAGTTTTTTTTTTTTTTTTTTTTTTTTTTTTTTTTTTTTTTTTAAAAATTTTATTTTCAATGCTTGAGAAAATTGTTAACGCGATTCTTTCACACGGAAATGCTAGACCTGCTAGATCCTGTTATAATTTCATATGTGCTATCAAAGAAGTGGAATTAGTTCAAGTCTAAGTTTAACATTCCAGCTATAACGCTTGGGAACAACACGTATATTCTTGACCATTGCCCATTACTAATCCGATTTAGATTTTTCCATTCATCCGCCTATCTATATATTGGTTACTTTTAGTATTTAAATGGATTCAACATTTTGACAGTTAAACGAGTAATTTTGTACACAAGTTTTGTAGCTAAAGTCCTATCGACAAGCAAGTTCGCATAAGTTTAAAACTGTGATTTGAAAAATGTGGTACAAGAAATTGATATAAAGCATTTATCGAGATTATCTACAATTTCAATGCATAAAATGAATTGATCGTCAAGAGCATGCGTAATACTCGATAAATTAAAATTTTTGCAATTTTCATATTTCATTTATATCGACTTTATCCACTAGCTGAATCAACCGTAATCTCTGCGCAGGGTTGCATTTTGAATAATACTGGACTGTCAGTTACCACGCCATACCACACAAATGTCGCAAAATTCATATCTTACGTAACTTTTGGTACACTCTGTATAATTTTCTAATGAAGAGATAAAAATCGTGTCTACCAATTCACTACGATAGCGTTGCCTGTGGTCGTAATTGTAAGTGAATGCTCAGTTAGTTAGTTTAAAAGCATTACTTCATATCTCTTCATCTTTCCCTACTTCTTTCTGACGGTGACTGTGTTAAGCAAAAAAAAAAATGTAAATTTATCAATATCACAGATCCGTTAAAGATAAAACAAAAAAAAAAAAAAAAAACTTACTCTTTAAAAAAATTGAAAAAATTTTAGCATTTTTTCAATTTCCCCTAAAGAGATCGAAAGTTCGGATATTAAATCTTCGGCGGGATGGTAGATAACATTAACTTTTGAGAATCTTAAATCGCCCTTTTAGATCCTGAAAGTTTCTTTAGCTGAAAGATCCTTCAAAAAAATTGTCAAATATATATCAAATTTTTCAAGAAAATTAATTTTTTTTTTTTTTTAATGAAAGCTTTTTTTTTTTTGCTGGAAATTCTTGAGTAAGGTTAGTTACAATTAAGTGTAAAACTATTATTATTAAATAACCAGTTGATCTTGAGAAATTGAGACAAAAGGATATGCTTTTTATCAAAATTTTGAATGTAAAGTTTTTCATATTAAAATCAATAAATTGCTCATTGTTTCATTATTCTGTTAATTGTTGCAAAAACAATTAATTGCCATGTACTATATGTATGTGAAAATATACACAAAATATATGTCAGTTAGTAAATGTGCACATAAGATAGGTAACATAAGTGCGTATATTCCGCGCATCAATATACCGAAGCCCTTATACCTTGCTATTACAGCAGATATTCGGTCACATTGTTTTATCTGGACAACAGGTCAACAGGTGCTTTTGATGTTTTACATTTTTGTTATTGTAAAAGTTGCTAACAAAGAGTTGCAAATTTCATAAATAATGGTCTCTGTTGTTTTCGCTACTAAATGGTGTTGACGCCTATATATCGATTAACATTCACCTGATCGTCTCATTCAGACGAGCCTCGTTTTAGCTCGTTTTCTGTGATCATAGTTTTTTATACCCACCACTGTAAGATGGGGGTATGCTCAATTTGTTTCTTTTTCGAAAAAAGGGAATTTTAGAGATCCTATAAAGTATACATATATAATATATATATTGTTGATGAGCGTGAAATTGCGAAATGATTTAATATGTGATGCTTTTTGACGACTATACCGAAAAACTTTGCATGTGTACGGTGAGAATGCTGTGAATGAACAAAGGACCCAGGAGTCTTTAATGTCAAAGATGCATTTCGCTTTGGTTGGCCAGTCGCTGAAAAAGTCGATGAAATTTCGCAACTGGTGGAGCAAGATCGGAAACACTAAACATCAACAGTTGGAATCAGTGGAGAAGAGCAGGCTATGTAAAGAAGCTCAAACGAAGAGCAAAAATCCGCACAGACCTTTCATATCAGCCATCATATTTTTAGGCACAGGCGCACACACACAAACACAGGATTCCTATGCTCGACTTGTAGTGAATTTTGGAAAGCTAAAGAGGCCACCTTTTTATACACTATGCCCTCTTGTGGCACAAGTCTCTACTTAGCTTGTACGGATGTATGGAGCAGCGAAAATGATTTGAGAAAGATCCACTATTTATTATATTGTTCGATTCAGAAAATGATTCGAAACTTCTCCGTCAGTCCGTCCGTCTTCGTCATACAAGTTGCAACTTTTCTAACATTTTAATGAATATGATGATAGGCCGATATGTGTTGGCCTAAGAACGATCTATGCTTATGATCTATGTCGATAAAAATGAAACTGTATGGCATATACTTCTTCGAAAATTATGGATTATAAGTATAAGAAAATAAGATGAAATTTAATATTTGTGGCCTTGACAAAAATTCATAGATCAACGTTACAAGGGCTTGTAAAAAGTCGACTTCAGTAATTAAAAACTTGAATAAGTGTTGTAATGAAGAGCAGGCGAATCTGTTATAATCACAATCGTCAAACTATTTATTAGTTATTTGGTCAAATATTCAGGCGATCTTCATAGATAGGATATATATATTCATGACAATCGATATCTGCTGGTAAGTTGTTGGCAGTAACACATTAATTTATTAGTAATTTTGGTTTTTTTTTTTTTTTTTTGACTCCCAAACCTGATGGTTGCTAACCATCACCTAAATTAGAATGTTCTCTTTCGCCAAAGGGTCTATGTTACGCGAACCGATTAACTGATAGGTGAGGATGTCGTACTCTTATATGGATCGAAAGTAGCTACACTTTATAAGATCGCTATCAAATATCACTAGATATTACAAATGGTGTGGTAAGACTAGGAGGTGTTCTCTTAGAACCGTCATCTCTGCATTAAAATTTTTGTTCGACGACTTATTTAGTCCGAGTCAAGCCCCTCGTTTAATCGTATATTTTTTAAGCGCCTTCATATTTTCAAATTATCCATAGTTTTTTGAACCGACGTTATCGCATTTGATTAAAAGGGAGCTGATGTCTACACGTGCCGTTTCATGACGATAGGCGAACGCTAAGCGAGCAATTGGACGGATGAAAAAAATTTGAGTCGACGCATCCAGTTCATATTTCGTGTAAATCGTAGAAGCGCACGAACAAGAATAAACAGAAAAGAACGAATGGGACTGAGTGCTATCACGAACAAGATTAACAGCATCATTAAATTGTTTTCGGTTGTTGAGACTTGGATATTTCTACAAACCATTTTGTGGCGTAGCTCACGGACTAGTTGTAAGAATATTAAAAGTTAGCACTTAAAATGTCACACACTCGGAAGGTGCTTAATGGAAAATTTTATAGTGTGACCCTTAAAATAGGAAATGAACAATTTATTAGCAATCTTGACGTCAATGTTATGCAGCATTATATGTTGTTTATTATATTGTTTTTTTTTTTGGTTTTTTTTTTTTTAGACACCACTTGTGGTACCTTTTATCGATCAGTTCTTGAATCATTTTCTGAATTGTATTTTTATTTTCAACTTGAAGGATTGAAACCAATATGTTTTGGTCAAAGAACGAAAGCTGTGGAAAACTCTTCGGATCGAACCCGTTTTGCGACCACATCCCACATAAGGTTTTATTTCGATTAGGGTATTGTATGAATAATTGTAGGATGGTGTCGGGTAATGTAATGATGGACTGTGTCCCGTGTATAGCGTGTTTTTACTTCGTTTCTGTTAAAAAGTTAAATAATTTTCTTCAAAGAATTTTTATAAATTTTCAAAAGAATTAATTTGAGAAAATTTTGAAATTAATTTTTATGAAAACATTTGATTATGACTATTAAAGGGGGACTTTTATAATTACTTTATAAATCCATTTAAAGACAAATTTTATTTTAATTTTTTCTTCTTATGATTTTTTAAACATTAATTTTATTTTTAATAAATCTTTATTTATCTTTTAAGTTTAATATATTTCTTATTCAATATAAGCGAATAAAAAACTTGTGTTGCTCAGTATGCTACGACAAGATCAAATGAAATTGTAGTGTCAAGAACAACCAGCACTTGAAATTCTGTATGTCAAGAACGCTTTTAACCAAAAGAATTAGAAAAAGAAAAAAAAAAAACGAACAAAGACAAATTAATGATTAGTCTCGCTAAGGCAAACGTACAATTT